GTGACTGTGAGGACGGCAGATTAGTAGGCAACAGTGCATGGAACTTTGTTCAAAGTTTCCGGTCCATTAAGGCTTCGGCAAGGGAGATACCACTAGGAGACCCCGCGTTAAGGGTGGTCCTGTAGGAAAACAGGAATACCTGGAATATCTCGTCCGTAGTCCCTCCCCATGAGCTTTCAAAAAGGCTCGTTTGAAGGTGTCAACAAAGCGTTCCACCTGACCGTTCGATTGGGAATGGGGGGGCGGGGATCGAAGATACTGGATGTGTGCTGGCGGCAGAAATCCTCAAAGGTCGATGAGGTAAAATGAGAGCCACTATCCGACATCAGGACATCCGGTTGGCCGTGCTGACTGAAAATGCGCCGTAGGAAGGCGATAGTGGCAGAGGTGGTTGCCGGATTCAGTGGTGCCATCTCGGGCCACTTTGGGTAGGCGTCAACCACGACTAGATAAGTGACACCGTCGAGTGGGCCAGCGAAATCGATGTGCACACGGGACCAAGGCCTATCCGGAGTTTGCTATGGTACTGGCGGTTGACAAGCAGACATTTTGGCAGCTTGTTTGCAACGTGAACAGCGCCGAACCAGGTCGTTGATGTCGCTGTCAATACCCGGCCAGTAGGCAAAGCTGCGAGCAATAGACTTTATTTGACTGGTGCCAGGATGAACAGCATGAAACTGGTATAACACAGTAGGTCGAAATGAAGGACGAATGACCACACGGTCTGCAAACATGAGGTAGAAGTCCACCACAGACAGCGATGCTCAACGCATGAGGAGCTGGTAAAGATCGCCAGTAAGAGCAGGTGTGGGCAAACTGGTTTGCAAATAATAAATTGATAGTCGAAACACAGAATTCTGTTTGGTAGCGCGTATGATGTCGATGGCAGTTACAGGAATGCGTCGTATGGCTTCCGAAAGCCGACAGCGCACTCCGTCCTCAATCGAAATAGCAGCAATCACTGTATCTTCCTCGGGTTTCTGCTCATTACAGATGAGGCGGGAAAGGGAGTCAGATTGGCCAAAGTCATTAGTGCAACAGTAGCGGATATAAACTCGTAACCGAGAAGAATGGTTGCCCATCGTTAGAGTCGGCTGACTGAATAGACCGAAGATGAACAGTAACGGTTTATGGTCGGTCAAAAGAGTGAAATGACGACCGTACAGCAACTTTTAGAACTTCTTGACGGCAAAGATGATGGCTAAGGCTTCTTTTTTGATTTGGCCATAGTTCTTCTCGGCAGGGGTTAAAGTTCGTGATGCGTGCATTGTCACCTTTTCGGACGCGTCGGGGAAAGTATGCGATATGACGGCACCAACGCAATGAGTAGAGGTGTCTGCAGCAACGACGATCGGCATTGTCTGGTCATAGGGCGTGAGCAGCAGATCTAAACTCACCATCGACTTCAGCTCGACAATGGCTTTTCGGCAGTCGGAGGAACAGCACCAGGGAACCTCCTTCTGCAGCATATGATTTGGCGGGGCTCCAACGTCATGCACCGATGGTAGGAAGGCACTATAGTAGCTGACCAGGCCAAGGAACGATCGAAGTTGGGATACATCTTGGGTGCAGACATCCGTTGGATAGCGCGAATATTTTCGGGAGCTGGATTGTGGCTAGTGGCTTCAAAGATGAATCCAAGGTACTTGATGGTCTCGAGGAAAAACTGACACTTGTCGGCCCGTAATCGGAAGCCAAATTCCTGCATGCGTTCAAGTACTGCGCACACTCGGCCTTGGAGCTCAGAAGGGAAGCGACCAATGGTGATGCTTTCGTCCAGGTACACAGCCATGTCAGGAATGCCGGAGAGCATTGCGGTCATATTTTGCTGGAACAGGGCCGGACCGGTCTTGACACCAAAGGGCAGCCTTATGTACTGGAAGAGACTGCGGTATATGTTTATCGTCAGCAATTCGCGCTACTCTAGAGCAACTTTGATCTGCAAGTACGAATCAACCAGATCCAACTTAGCAAAGCAAGTGTTACCATTCA